AAAGACAGAAGGAAAGAAAGACAGAAGAAAGAAGGGAAGAAGGGAAGAAAGAAAGACAGAAAGAAGGAAGGAAGGAAGGAAGGAAGGAAGGAAGGAAGGAAGGAAGCTTTAAAATTTTCAAAGCAATACATACACGTTGGTGTTCATCTCCCCTCCTCCCTTCTCTGGCTCCGAGCTCCTAAAACTCTTGGAATTCCTGAGTGATAAGATGGGAAAGTGTCCTTTGTTGTGCGGACAAGGTGACTCTGGAAAGGCCCTGGGGATGGGGGCTGTTACCAGGACAACCAATTGTGGGATTAAAGGGATGGAAGTTTCTGCCCCACCCGTTGGAGCTTGAATCAATTGCCGGCGGCCAATGACTTAATCAATTCTACGGACCCAGGATGAAGGCTCCAGAAAGTCCCAGAAGGACGGGGTTCGGAAGCTCTCGGGTCGGGGGGCCAGGGCGCTTTCCCTGGCCTCTGAGCCCCACCCCAGGCTCCAGGCGGACAGAAGCTGCCCTGTTCCGGAGCTCGGCCCCCGGGTCTCTGCGCGGGCAGGTGACTGATCTAGGAGCCTCTGTCCCTCTCTGATACCGGGACCCAACCGACTGGGTGAACGGGTTTCCCTGAGTCGCTCGACGGAATTGATGCAACCCACGGGGGGCAGGGGGGTGGTCTTGGGAACGTCCCATCTACAGCTGGCTCGTAGAAGCACAGATCCCAACCTGGACAGGCATCCGCGGCGCAGGACTGAGTCCCTACCCTGTGGGATCTGATTGCTTCGCCAGGCGGGCTGGGTCAGACCCGAGGTGCATTGACGCCCCCCAGGCGGGGTGTGGAAGCCGGTCGTCTGGGGAGCCCCCGCCCCGCACAGACGGTTTCTGTGATAGGTGTAGTCGGGGATGGCTGGGGGCTCAGAGCCGCGGTCCAAGAAAGGATTCTCGCACACGTTTCTGCTGCAAAATGTGATTTTATTAAAGCACGGGGACAGGACCCCTGGGCAGGAAGAACTGCACGGGGTCGCAAAGAGTGACTGGTTACGTACAATGAAGTTGGGGAGGTAAAGTCAAGGCGTGGGGGCGGGGGGCTCCAGAAGGACTTTGATCTGCTAACAACTCCTCAGATACTCAGATCCTGGAAGGCGTCCACATTCGGAGAGTGCGGGCTTCCCGGAGAAACGTTCTACTCTGTACTTCGCTCAACTGTCTGTGGATGGGCTGCCCCTTAGAAGGAAATTTAAGGTTCCCTGTCATTGACTTCCTGCCTTTGTTTCCCCACGTCACTGTGGAGGGGACGATGATGTTGGGGCTCCAGGACACAGTCTATGGGTTCCTGGAGGTGAGGCTATTGAGAAGATGGGCTTGTTCTTCTCATTTGCTAAGACATAAACTGATGGAGACTCATGTGTGCATGACTGACCTCGATCGGTTAACCATTGGTTTTCTCACCTCTCCGGCGTCCTTGGGCAGCGGGCAGTGCCTGAGGAATGTCACCCCCCCCCCATGGGGCTGGGCTAGCTCCTACTTGGCCCTCAGGTCGCCTTATGCCCCCACAGTACACCCTCCGGCCCTATGATCCTGGGTTTGAACACGTTCCCGGCCACGGCCAAAGAAGCATTGCCCGACGACTTACGTGGGTTATCCACACACCTGCCCGATTTGGGGTGTCTCACTTGCTCCCGTTAACTGCCCCAAGAACACAAATTCGTCAAGGCAAAGGTCTCCTTTAAGCTATTAACCAGTCACGCAGCACCTCACCTAGCAAGGAGAGGGAGCCCCAAGGAGACGTGAGACTTGGAAAGTTTTTGTCGGAACGAGGGTGGGGCGTGGAGGCCAAGGTCACCTTCTCCTAGGGGACGGGCAGGAGGTCTCATTATGTGGGTCCCCTCATCTTTCTTTGGGGGGGAGCTGGATGGAGAGGGCTCGGGTGACAGATTCCCTCCTCGCGGTTTAATCAGAACACGCATTCCCAACTGGCCAGTTAAGACTTCATTTCCAAGGGAGGTTGAAACTGCATCGGGAGACGTATGAAGCCTCAGCTTGGTGACTCCATTTGGGGCTTTCACGGAAGCACGCCCCAAATATCAGCCCCCCCTGCATCCGGGGTGTGGCATGGAGACACATGCTGGACATGAGACCCCAACCAGAGAATTGGGAACCCCGCCCCCCAGAACCAAGGTAGCTCAGCCACGATCAGAGTTGATGATTCTCACACGCTCTGCATATCATCCTCACTTCTCAGGAACAATTACTCACCACCGAGGGCCATCTTGCTCCCAAGGACACTGGCAAGGTTGCAGGTATTTTGGTTTTCACGGCAGTGGAAGAAGGGAGTGCTTCTGGCTTGTGGAGGGTGCAGACCAGAGACGCTGTTCAACAGCCTACGATACACAGGATACCCTCTCGCATCCACCCCCACCATCTTCATGGCACCGACGTTACAGCTGACTTCGCACACTGTGCTCACTTCTTTCCTCTAAGGGCTGTGTTTTAGGCCTTCTTGTCCAGAGATATAAAATGTCTGTGCAACTTTCTCTACCGCTCGGAGCGGTACAGAAATACTGGAAATACTGGAAATTCCAGAAATACTGGAAATGCGTGACTCTTACGCATGCACTATTTAGACTCTTTTTTTCTTCTGTTGCTTGATTTCTTGGGAACATTTTTTTCCACTCGAATATCCAAACCATGTTTTAGGAAATGCACTTGGGTTTGCAAATACATTTTCATAATAATGTGTCTGAGTAGAGCTCACGACTGTATTTCTCTATGCAAAAATAGACAGTCAAGCCACTTGGTGAAATCACACCATTTTTCCCTAAATAGTCTTATGGCTATTAAATAATTTAAATGAGCTTTTAAAATTCCCAGAAATGAAATGTTAGTTCCAGACAGTTTTGTAGAAGACACCAAATGCACTCTCTTTTTTTAAAATTTTTTTTAAATTTTATTTATTTTTGAGACGGAGAGAGAGAGACAGCATGAGCAGGGGATGGGTAGAGACAGAGAGGGAGACACAGAATCTGAAACAGGCTCCAGGCTCTGAGCTGTCAGCACAGAGCCCGATGTGGGGCTCCAACCCACAAACCCTGAGATCATGACCTGAGCAGAAGTCGGACTTTTAACCGACTGAGCCACCCAGGTGTCCCCCAAATGCACTCTCAAAAACAAAAACAAAAACAAGAAAACCAGATCATTTCAATAAATGGAGACTATTTTCATAAAAGTCAAAATTATTTTATGAGTATCATTCTTAGCAACCTCAGAATGGGAGGGACTCTCTTAATCCGGTAATCTAGTTTTGTTGAAAAGCAATCATTTTCCTTGTTGGAAGAGCCATGATTCATATTGCGTTTAGGTAATCAATACGTAACTGGTGGTTTGGGCTAGAAACGCAGCCCTATGCTATCTGGTGGTGTGCACGTTACTTAGACTACAGCCTCTACGGGGCAATTGAAGTTTCTTCAAGTTAATGAAAAAAGAATGTTTTAAGAATATTTAAGAAATGATGGAATGAAGATTGGAGTCCCAACAAACTCAGAAAATTTGAGAGGATAAAGCCTCAATTCAGGGTTAAAACTGTAGTATACCTCAATTCCATCTTCTTCAGTCAAGAAACGAGTATTTATTTTAGTGGCTAATTCCATACTCACCACAGCATGTACCTCGCTTACGCACTTCGCAATAAAAGTCTGCTTAAATAGCACAGACTCCAATTATACATTGTTTTATGAGCAAAAAGCGCTTTATTGCAACTATCGACATAGTGGCCATCATTGAACGCTCAACTACTAAGGCTTGTGTTTCTTCCTTTAAAAAATATTTCAACAAAATATTAAATGAATATAGGTAGCAATGTTGCTTTGCTCATAGAATTTGGGAATGCTTTTTCAATGTGTTGCATGTCCACATGTTGGAAGGATCTCAAGGTCAATAAATGAACGAGAATGAATAAATGTCTCCACCCGCCCCATGTCGGGCAAGCAATCCCATCAGTAACTGTCAAGGCTGTGGACAAAACCATCACAACGTCCAGGATGTGGCCACTGGACCCACGACCCCACTGGAGTGTTGTTTTATAGACAAGATCAGAATTCCTTGGGATGAACTTAACTTTGCCTCTCAGTGAAATCGCTCTACCCATTCACCCATCTGTGCGTCCATCCATCCATCCATCCAATCATCCATCTATCCACCCATCCATCCATCCATCCATCCATGAATGATATCCCTCCAACCATATCTGTCTATCAATCATATATCATCTATCTATCTATCTATCTATCTATCTATCTATCTATCTATCTATCCATCCATCCATCCATCCATCCATCCATCCATCCATCCATCTATCATCTACCTATCCTTTCCCTCCAGGGGCCATTTGGTAATGTGGGGAGACATTTTTGCTCGTCACAACTGAGGAGATGCTAGCAGCATCTACTGAATGGACACCAGGGATGCTCCTGGATATCCCACAATGTGCAGAACAGCCCCCTACAGCAAAGATGTATCTGTCCCCAAATATCAATAGTGTCAAGGTTCAGGGACCCTGGGCTAAAGAGTAGGGAGGAAGCATTCAGCACGATGCATTAAACACACATGGAACATAACCCATCTACTACCTATCCTATGTGAGAAATAACATAGACAGTCCCTAAATGATTTTTAATGAATTTGTAAATAAATACATGTTTTCTTTAAACCTGTTTTATTAATACAAAAAACAACGAAACCCACCCTGAACTCCCAAAACCTCAAGCCATGCCTTGTTTACACATCAAGACTGAGTAGAACTCAGACAGGTTTGTCTGCAAACACCAGCAGGAAGTGCCGGGGTGGGGTTGACCGTAGGTGGCGAAAGTCCCTGTGTGGGTGGCTCTGACAAGTCCAGGAGGTGATGTTCAGGAAAATGGATGAGGTGAAGATTCTTCTGGCTTCACTCATATTCACCGATCGAATGCATTTTGGGGGAGAGTCGAAGAACTTCAGGTAAACTACAGCTTTCCACCGTCCCCGGAAAAGTCTTGCACTGCTCGCTGGAAAAGAGGCGTGTTAAGAGGCACCGCTGAGTCTGTCCCAGAGAGGACCTGACATGTCCTGTATCACATCTTCTTTCCCCGCCCTCCTCGATTAAGAAGTGGGGTCAATATTCCTTCCCCTGGACATTGAGATGGCCTTCTCCTGGCCCCCATGTCTTAGTCAGCTAGCACTGCCCAAACACGGCACACAGACCAGGGGCTTCAACACCAGGAATTTGTTCTCTCCCAACTCTAGATGCCAGGAGGTCAAAGTCAAGGTGTACCCAAGGTTAGCACCTCCTGAAAGGTCTGAGGGCAAATCTTCCCATATCTCCCCGAATTCCTAGCTGTTACTTGGCAACCTTCGGCATCCAACACCGCCTCCTCCTTCCCACTGCCATTCCTCTGCGTGTATTTCCATTTTCCTTATTTCATAGAAGGACATGCACCACCGGATGAGGGCCCACCTGGCTAATCCAGGATAATCTCATTTCAAGATCTGTACTGATATCTACAAAGATCTTTTCCAAGTAAGGTCCTATTACCAGGTTCCAGGTAAGCACCTCTTTTGATGTGTGTGTGTGTGGGGAGGGGATGGGCTAAGGCGGTGTCAACCTTCAACCAAGGACATGGTGTATTCAACGCAAGATCCAGACTTCATGTCCATTGACCTTGCAACAACATGGCAGAATATGTCTTGGGGAAGGATTGGTGAATCCCCTCCTGGGAATTCACCTTCATCCAGAAGCCTTCAGAAGCCTTAATGATGCCACTGTAGGCATTGTAGACCTCTCAGAAACATTTTCAAATCCCACTAGTTAGAGCTATAGCCCTGTCCCAATCGAGATGGCTTCCTGGTCTGCATTAAAGCGCCCCCTGTCTTCCCACAGATGACTGGGTCCACTGCCAGACCAGTTTACCCTAAAGTGTGCAGCTCGGTGTACTGAACACTATTTTCTTTCTTTTTTTAAAAAAATATTTTATTTATTTCTAGGAGAGAGAGAGATAGCGTGAGCAGGGGAGGGTCAGGGAGAGAGGGAGATACAGACTCTGAAACAGGCTCCAGGCTCTGAGCTGGCAGTCAGCACAGAGCCCGACGTGGGGCTGGAACCCGCGAACCGCGAGATCATGACCTAAGCGAAAGTCGGACGCTTAACCGACTAAGCCACCCAGGCGCCCCTGAACGCTATTTTCAATCTTCAGGAAATTGAAGACACTTTTCACGCTCTCTGGACAAACTCACAGATAAGATACCCGCCATGTTTAACAGCTAAAGGCCAGTCATACAGAGTTTTGTTAACTCCGGTCCTACACAGCAGACTAAATTCATTCCGAAACCTGTGTTTATGCCTGTATCCCTCCGGGATTTCACACCACGCAAGTTCCTTATCCCACGAAGGCATATTGTCTTCGTATCTACCCCAGCTTGTCTGCAAAGCTTACATCATCGTTCTTCCAATGCCTTCGGCAAATTCCCAAACAAGATACCCAACACTCATCTGCATAAAGAGCTGCTGTTTATTCTGTAAACGCATCATGTGTTTGGTGCTGCTGGTGGGCCCCGATCCATACCTGGTGCACGAAGCATACTTCGCGGTCACATATCTGGGTTTGATTCCAGGCGTGAGCCACGGGCATCATTCCTGCTTTCTGCAGATAATGTGGGATCTATCTCTCTGTTCTTGTGAGCGATGGGATGGGATGTTTTCAGAGCACATACTGGAAACTTCCAGTGTGATCTGCATTTACTGAGGACTATGCCCCGATTGCCTATGGCTGTTCTGAACCGGACTTGCAGGGTGAACAGAGAAACCGATCGCTTCTGTATCTTCCTCCCAAGGACATTCCGTCCCCTTCTGCAGAGAATGATATTTCAGACACAGGGGCATCTTCCAAGATGCAATCAGGGTCTCAGGCTTCCATGGGGGGTGGGGGAGGGCTTAGTCTGGACCCTTGACATAACAGTGACCCAGAGAAGTGACGTCATGCAAAACGGGCTGCGTGCGGTCGGAAGGGTCTGTGTGCTGAGAACGGAGACGTCCATGGTCCCGGGTCCTCAGCGGCTGGCCCACCTCCGTCACCTCTGGCCGTGGGACTGTCCCCACAGTGCTTTTGAGTCAGGAATACGTTCAAGGCTGTTCTTCCCTTCCTCGTATGGGGCACACATCGCATTCCTTCTTCAGCGATGCTGTTGCGACAGGCTCTGAAAACAAAAGCCTTTGTGTTTTATTCCGTCTTCCCAGACCCGTGTCTCGTGGGAACTTGACCCCGGACAGGGAGGGCTCCGGAGTTTCATTTCTGCAGTCGGAGGAAGCTCTCACGTGCCTGAGGCTCGGCCGTAAACCCACAGAGCCTCCCTACATCCCAACACTGGCTGAGCTCCGTGGGTCCCCGGCCACACGGAGTGGGTGTCTTTCCCACTCTGGTCCAGCAGCACCTTTGGGCGTTGTGCGCACCAGCCAGCGCGTTCCTGAGGAGCACATCACCACCAAGGTGGTTTCCCGTTCCTCTCGTACCTCAAGGCCTCTCACAGTGAGAATGCTCGTGACACAGGCAAAACCCAATAAACAGTAATTAGTGGCATCAGATAGTCTCAGCCCATCCATTTGAGCCCCACGTGGGTTGCCCTAATTATACCCAGGAAGCCATAAACACTTGGAGTGGGCAGATCTCTCTGTCCGTCGAATGTGGGACTCACCGCTTTTGCTTTGTTTTCAGATTTCGTTTCTGTTTTGTTTGCTCGGCCTCCGGCGGCTTCTCAGGAAGGACCCACCTGTAGGAAGGAGGAAAGGAAGTCGTCACGGTGTGAACAGGTGCATTTTTGGAGTTTTTCATTTTCGTGCTGGGATGAGCCGCCCGCTCTGTTGGGCACCAAGGACACGGGGAGCAGAGCGTCCCTGAAGGGCAGTGCAGGGCACGGCAGGGGCCGAACAAAGATGCCCCCTGTGCCAGAGACGGTCCGTTGTCATTTCCTCACCTCGCTGGGCCCTCATCCCGTGTGACCTGCAGCATGTCGTGCAGAGGAGCCCAGAGGGGGCGCCACACGCCCAACACATGACTGTCACTCTCCCACAGCTGAACAGTTTCGTACTTTATTTTATTTTATTATTTTAATATTTTATTTTGTTTTATTCTATTTTATTATTTTCTATTATCTTATTTTTTTCTTATTATTATTTTGTTATTTTGTTGTATTATTTTATAGTATTATTTTGTTTTATATCATTTTATTTTATAGCATTATTTTGTTTTATATTTTTATTTTATAGTATTTTGTTTATTATTTTATTATTTTATTTATGGTATTATTTTGTTTTATATTATTTTATTTTATAGTTGTTGTATTATTTTATAGTATTATTTTGTTTTATATCATTTTATTTTATAGCATTATTTTGTTTTATATTTTTATTTTATAGTATTTTGTTTATTATTTTATTATTTTATTTATGGTATTATTTTGTTTTATATTATTTTATTTTATAGTATTTTATTATTTTATTTTATTTTATCATTTAATTTTATGGTATTATTTTGTTTTATATTGTTTTATTTTATAGTATTATTTTGTTTATTATTTTATTTTATAGTTTTATTTTGTTTTATATTATTTTGTTTTATTTATTGTACTTTATCATTTAGTTTTATTTATTATTTTATTTATTTTACTTTCTATTATTTATTATTTTGTTATTTTATATTATTATCTTGTTTTATTTTATTAATGTATTCAATTTATTTTACATTATTTTTATTTTTTTATGTTATTATTTTATATTATTGTATTATTTTATTTTATATATTATTTTGTTTTATTTATTGTGCTTTATTATTTTGCTGTATTTTATGATTTTATTTTATGTATTATTTTACTTTATTTATTTATTTTAATTATGAGAGAGAGAGAAGGGGAGGGGCAGAAAGAGCGCACGAGAGAGAATCCCAAGCAGGCTCCGAACTCAGCGCAGACCCAAGACAGGACCCTGAGATCACAACCTGAGCCAAAACTGAGAGCTGAGTGCTGAACCAAGTGAACCACCCAGGTGCCCCTCAATTAGTATAATTAAAAACCACTATAAAAGAACACCTTCTGTTCAAAAACTGAAACTGAACACAAGTGATTCAGTGGAATCCCTCCCACCCCCCTGAATTGACTTACCCTCCTCCTCCCACCCTTACCCTTTGGAAGGGCATGCCTTGACTTTTTATTTTTCCTTTTATTACTTTTTATTGTTTTTGAAAAATTTTCCCTAGTGTTTATTTATTTCTGAGAGAAAGAGCCAGAGAGAGACAGAGACAGAATGCAGGTAGGGGAGGGTCAGAGAGAGAGGGAGATACAGAATCTGAAGCTGACTTCAGGCTCTGAGCTGTCAGCACAGAGCCCGACGCGGGGCTCAAACCCACGAACCATGAGATCGTGACCTGAGGTGAAGCTGGATGCCTAATTGAGTTAGCCTGTCAGGTGCCCTTACATAGGACATACTTATAACCAAAGAATTATTCATTGTTTATTTGAAATTCAAATTCAACTGGCTATGTAGTATAAGTACATCCCTAATGCACTATGGGACACACTTATACTAAAAGAATGATTTATTATTTACCTGAAATGCAAATTCATCTTGGCTTTTAGTGTATGTCCCAAATATTACACGGGGACATATTTTATACTGATATATATGTATTATCTGAAATTCAGATTTTACCGAGCATCGTGCATTTTTAAAATTTTATTATTTTTTATATTTTTAAGATTTTTATTTTTTAAAATGTTTTATTTATTTCTAGGAGAGAGAGAGAGAGAGAGAGAGAGCGTGAGCAGGGGAGGGTCAGAGAGAGAGGGAGTCACAGGCTGAAACAGGCTCCAGGCTCTGAGCTGTCAGCACAGAGCCCGACGCGGGGCTCGAACCCACGAACCGTGAGATCATGACCTGAGCGAAAGTTGGATGCTTAACCAACTAAGCCACCCAGGCGCCCCTGGTGCGAAAGTGGGGCTCGAACCCACAGCCCCGAGATCAAGACTGGCACACTCCGCCAACTGAGCCGGCTGGGGTCTTCTCATCCTACGTTTTTATGTGCTCAGTGTGGCCATCCTACCTAGAGTAAGAGGCAGAGTCAGTATCAAGGCCTCTAGGGCCACACTTTGTGTTGCTGGTACCCAGCATGCTCCGGACACACTGTCCCCGTCAGTCCCCAAACATGTGCTCACGGACTGTGTCCCTCCTTAAGGTCATTGTTCCAATCGCAGCATCTCGGGGAGACCTAGTACATCACACACACACTAGTACCTGCCTATCTCTGCACGTACACATCCCTGTATCTCTGCACACACTCAAAATCACACGATAAACACGATTAACGCACATGCAATTATATGCACGTAGCGCATGCAGACAATTACTGCCTTGTAAGCCCTCCGTCCCCCGGCTCTCTCACTTTGCTATTTCTGGTGTTCCAGCCACTCAGTCACACCCTCTAACCGTCTCTCACTGCTCACTGTCCGTGGTGCCCATCACGTGGGGGGCCGGGCAGCCAGCCCTGAGCTAAGCTGCATTCCTCCGCGGTGACAGGCTGACTCTGCTCAGGGCCTGGCACAGACCCTGAGGACCGGCTGGGGGGCTAATGTCCCAACATCTGGTTACAGCCTTGCCAGGGAACAGGGAGGTTAGCATCAGACTCCAGGTGACGGTCGGGATTGAGCGGAGAAAGGGCAGAAAGGTACCTTTCACGTTAACATCTGCCTTGACATTGAGCTCGTGTACGTTTAGGGGCACCTGGGTGAGTCAGTCAGTGAATCCTCCAACTCTCCATACGGAGTCCGATCGTCTCACGGTTTGTGGGTTCAAGTCCCGCGTCAGGCTCTGCTCTAACAGCGCGGAGCCTGCTGGGGATTCCCTCTCTCCTGCCCTCCCCACCTCAAAATAGGTAAAAAAAAAAAAAAAGTAAAAGTAGCTTATATACTTTTAAATTATGCATACTTCAGGCGATTATAAATATATGTATAAATACACATATACAAACCTAAATATGTACAAAGAGGTGCATTTGCGGCTTTATACATATTTAGGTTTGTGTATATATGTATATATGTTTATCCACACTTAGATTTATATATGTAGATTTGTTTATACATATTTGTCTACTATGTATACATATATGTATATAATATTACATATAATATATAACTATATATACTGTATATAAACTGTGCATACTATATAAACTATATATGTACTATGTACATACTACATATATAATAAAATCACTATGTATATATTATATAAAATATATAACTATATATAAACTATATATATACTGTCTATAAACTGTGCATACTATTTATAAACTATATATATACTATGTACATACTATATATAATATAATCACTATGTATATATTATATAAAATATATAACTATATATAAACTATATATGTACTGTATATAAACTGCAAACTATAAACTATATATATACTATGTACATACTACATATATAATATAATCACTATGTACTTACTACATATAATGTACATAGTCTATATGTGATATATAGGATATATACTATATAACCATACACTATATATAATATTAAGCACATTATCATATAAATGTCTATATAAAAACCTATATATATTTTTCGTAGGCAATACAAGCACAAATATGCCTTCAAAATTTTCTAAGCTTTCTCAGAAAAGTTTCCCTGTCCCTAAATTATGCACATTTTTATAAATGATGTGCAGTATAAGTTAGTTATGATCTATGTAACTCAGCTATTACAGCGTAATCTCAGAAAAGTTTCCCTGTCCCTAAATTATGCACATTTTTATAAATGATGTGCAGTATAAATTAGTTATGATCTATGTAACTCAGCTATTACAGCGTAACATTAGTTTCCGGTGGAGAAGGCAAGGTGTCTCGCTTCCATACAACACCCAGTTTTATTTTCACACTTATATCTTGACACACGAAGAATCAGTTTTGGTATAAAGGACTCAGGAAGGGCCCCTCCTTGTTAAACACTTGGAATGGCCACACGCCTGCCCTGCGTGTGTAACGCCCAGCGGGCAGGCCGCGTCCTCAGGGCGTTAACACAGCAGGTGCCTTCTGGACTTGAGAACAACGAGCTTCTCCACCTCTTTTCGGCTGCAAGAGCGAAGCCTCCTCAGACCCTTGGCTTTATCAGGACGGAATCTCATTCCCACCTCGTGGTAGTTCTTCGCTTCTCAGAAATCGAGCATCGTGGCTCCCTCGCGGGTCCTGGTGCAGCGACAGGCACCTCTCCTCGGGGGGGTGTGACCCACACTTGGCGGGACGACGCTGGCCCGCTTGGTCACACTACCAAGTCTCCTTCCTCCAAGGCCGGGGGCGCGTGCTTCTCTTCACTCCCACCCCAGGCACGCCCATCACCCCACTTTGCAAGTTTCCTCCCTGCGCGTTGTGTCCCCAGAAGTACTGCCGACTCAGTGAAACAATCTGGTTGCAGATAAGCCCTCATCGAAGTTTTCAAGCCTCCCTCCTGGAAGTGGTGATGAGCTGCAAAACCACAGGTCTCACGGTGGCCGCCGCGGCTCTTCGTGCAATCTCTCACTTTGCAAAAACTGGCCTCCACCCCTCTCCAACTTCCTCTCCGCGGAAGTCGTTTCTGTGCTCCTCGTGACGAGGAAGTTTGGGAAACACTGAAAAAGATTGATGCAAAAATTGTAATCGAGACTCAACCTCTTTGACATTTTCCTG